AAGTCTGGACACAACCAACACTGTCGGCTTTCAGATATGTAGTAGCTTCACTTGCATACTACTTGTCTCCCGCACATCACAGATGAATGAATAAGTTAGCGATAGGCGTATCACTGAATCACATCATTAACCTATGAGAGTACTAGAAAACCAGTCCTAAACCTTCTACCTACCGCCAAATTTAGTAAATCTTTCAGGGCCGAGTGACCAATAGAGGAGTCGGAGAATGCCGACTTCTATCACATTGCGTGGCCTGATTTTCATAGAAAGTAGTTAAGGGCAAACTTTTCATACTGGTTCGTCTCTTTCACCTTTCTATCGACATTGGAAAGCCGAACCGGGAGTTGCTTTCTTGATTACCCTCATACATAATATTAGCGCAAGGTTTTACTCGATTCGTCGTCCATTGTGCCGCTCTATTATTGCAAATACCACATTCCGAACTCGACCCTTAATTGAAGCTGTACAAATGCTTGAAAGAGTTGGTGTGGCCAAAAGCTCAAGCCAATTCACGGCGACTCTTCGCGGATATTTTGCAAAATTTAAGTCCGACTGATATTCAACAGTCGGGATTTCCCGTACTCTTTGTTGAGAAAATTTAATCAAGGATTCATAGCGTCTCAATAATTGGCGAGGAAGCGTAACTAGACTTATTTGATTAGATTTTGAAGGTACTGTGAGATGTAAATAACGATTTTTGACCCTAAATTTACTTCTCTCTTACAAAGGATGAATTTGACTAAAACAAAATCCAAGAATTCGATAATACGTAACATCATTCATGATCACTGGCGGGATGCCCTGTTATTGTTGAGAAGATCATTCACCTGAAGATGCCGTCTATTCCATCCTCTGCTTTTGCTTTAGGAACTTATCGTCTACACCTTAAAGGTGCCTTTCAAGTGAGCATAAAGAGGGCTGTTATTACATTCCGCTGCTAATAATAATCAGTGGAAGAACAAAGGTCTGCGTTAAGCTTGTGGGAACACATTTTAACGCGTCTAAGCAAGAGGTTCCTGTAGAGGGAAGGAGACATAAGATCAGAATATAGCTCGGTGATAGCACTGCAAGGAGATACAGTGAACCTACTTTTTATTACCTACGCAGCTAAAAGTAAGGGTTGAACAAACGTTTGAAGCGTTTGACAGGTCCTCATGGATTCATATTTTCACCGCTGCACACACGAAAGGCACTGCCGGTAATCCTTATTGAGTATGGAATTCATGTGTTGTATAAGGTTTGAGACTGCTATGTTGTATGATTCGTGATTTAGATAACCGCCTAATTAATCACTTGTGTTGTTGATCCCCAAGAACGAGTAGTTAAACAAAAACAAAGTATCCAGTTTTGACTTGAAGGGTTTGTCAGCTATAACAGTCAACAACATCTGTCACCAGCTCCACAATGATGAGTGGCTGCCAGACAAGATCTTGCCTTCCCCACAAACGAGTCTCATTATTTCCAAAAACACTCGATCCTTACTCAGACTCAGGTAATTATGCGTGTTTAGTGTAATAGACGCAGTCATTCACTTGCCACACTCATGTCTGATTGCCAACGAAGGAAATGCGCTGTTTGGCCATAGCTAGGAGTGGCGTCAATTTTCGAAAACATGCGTTTATTAAAGGAGAATACGACACGTATAATGCCGCAATGACGCTTAGTTTATGAGTGTTTTGAACGCTATCCGAGCTCTTTTTCAGTGGTCATTACTTACGGCTATTGAACTACAAATGCTACCTATTTGCTGCATAACTACCTCTGGTCTGCAAATCCCAAGGTACATCACTTTGATCCCGTTTCATCGCACACATTCCTCAACACCTAATCGATGGAGGTGAGTGATTTTTGAGGAAGAATATGTGGTGATATTGAAATAGAGTCTATATTGTTGTGCAAAATGTAAATTAAGGGCAAAAAAGGAGACCAGAAAGAGGCATGAACAGAGATAGTTGCCGTTTACAAAAAAGGGTAAGAGGCAGAACAGAACCTCAAGCGACCGCATAAGCACAAAAAAGCCTTGTTTCCGCCTCGTCTGTATATTAGTCATAGTATGAAATTGGCGCTCCAAGGGGCGGCAAAGATGGGTTCATCTCGTTCACATGATTCCACGTGGCATCCACTACCATAGGACGTTGGTGACGCTGGGGTTGGTGGTGAGGATGGTGAGAGGGATTAGAAGTGTTCCAATTCTCTGTGGGCGACTCCACTGCCGTCGATGGCAGGTTGGGAGCGATCCGAAAGTGTACTGGATAGTGTAAGAATCGTTCTCCATTCACGGAACGAGAGAAGTGCGGATTAGTGCGAGGAAGGACTAGTGGCACAGAAGCCGTCTGATTGGTGGAAACTCGAGGTTGGAGCCACCGCCAGGTAAAGCGACGACTACGTGATGTTCTGGCTGACGGCGGCGGCGGTGTTGGCGAAGAAAAGGACTCGCCTTCCCCGTCAGCATCGCGCCCAACAAGGCTGAGGCACTTGCGCGGCTGAAAACAGACCGCGCAAACCACCATATACACGACTAGGAGAGTGATGAGAATGTAGGCTACAAGGAGGCCGATGAAGCGACTGCTCCTTGGATTGACGGACATGCCAAAGTCAGTGAGGATCGGCTTTGGTGAGGGGATGTGAAATGTGTCCTCTTGTGCTATGTTGGCAGAATCGGCTAGCGCTATGTTTCGCCCTTCCGGAACTGTAACAAAAGTGGATTGTAGCCTTCTTGATTCTCCATTGTGCGAATGCATGCACCAACAAAAATGCGTTTAATGAAGAAGTTAAATTAGAATTAGCCGGTGCTTTTAAAGGGATTCCAAAAATGTGGGCTGATCTTAAATTCAAATCCCGAGGACGTGACTATTGGGCGTTTATTTAAAAATCCTTTGACACCGTTTTGGAAATCACAGTCTAATTATAACGTTAACTTAGTAAAAGGTATTCCGCCTATTTATTTGACATCCAAACCTCAAAGGAGCAAAGTGTTTGCAAATGAAGGACACATTTGAGGCGGTCAGTGAAAATTTTGCAGTTTTTTAGACAACCTGAGCAAATGTGCGGCTGGTGTGACCATAAAGTATGGACCAACTTGCTTTCTGGTATGCTGTCATTTACGCCAATCCTTCCTCACGTTCATTGTTCTGCTCCTACGGAGTCGGTTACAAATAACCCACCATCGGATCTCTTTCCCTATAATTAAAATCTCTTGGCGATGTAAATAATCTGCCTTTTTGTCAAGTGGGCTTTTTGAGAGCACCCGCAAATATAAATGCTATCTAAAAGCGATTAAATCTGTAAAAACACTTGCAGGAGCAAGGAAATAAGGGAGTTTATACGGACCTTTCCTATCCTATTTTAGGAATGCACCATTGTTGAAAGTAAAGCAATTTCGATAAAATCACTTGCTCACTTAAGTCATTTGTAGACATACCCCCCTTAAAATCTAGACAATTCTAGCCGACTTGATGCCTCCACCGGTGGATAGAGCACTAATGCTCTCCCGACTTAAGTTGTCTCTATAAATAGACATGGCAATTATTTAACATGCTACCTAGAAGTGCGGAATAACCTGGTGGTAAATGTCAGCAAAATTGGGGTTTGTGCTAAAAAAATAGCCAAGTTGAGTGTGCAAAAAACGCATCCGCACCAGTCAATCGCATGTTGCCAATGCGGCAAAAACAAATCGACATCAGATTGCAGTAGTTTGCAAGTAGGAGCTTACACATCAATTGGAGTGCGAAGCACAAGGCAGTTCTGACAGTAAAAATAAAGCGAATATTGACTAAGTCAAACGTGCTAGATCCATTCAAAAAAAATTTGGCGAAGTGCAGTAAATGATAATTTGTATACAGCACATGATGAATGTATTAGCACCTTGGCACGGAGAACACTTAGCACAGATGATATCGAAACACAATTTCAGCAAATGGATGATACTACGGCAATGCAAACTGTGTAGCCCATGAGACATTTCCCTCGAACAGTTTCCTGGACCGCTGACTTCCGCTTGCAAATGGCCCGATTCCCACCGATGTCAAGGAAAGTAGGAACCGCTTCCCTTGCTACTGCTTTTGACATGGTAAGCATGATTGCAGAATTGACTAGCGCGACAAAGGTAACTTTACAATTAAATCTACAAACGGCTGAGAAGTCCCTTCGACAGTAATTTGAAAATTCATCAATGGATATTAAAGTAACTAAATGGACCAGGATTCCACTGTTTGCATAACCGGTCCCAAAGTGTCATTGGAAAGTCATCTAGAGGGTAAAACCGGAGGAAGCGCGCCAGTTGGCTCAATGAAGAAAGTCAAATAGCTACACAAGTAAGTGGCATTCACTACTATTAAGTTTAGTCTATTTCAATGGACAAAAGATGCCATTGTGTCCTTGTAGCGATGAATAATTTATGGGACCATGGCTAAGGAATGGGTATTATGCTTTGTATTGACACGTTTACTGAAGAAGCTGCTTAATAAGTAAACATCGGATCGTCCTAAACAATGCACTTACTCGTTTTGAAAATGATGGGGACTCTCCAAAACCCTCTGGAAAAAAATTACTCACTGATATGAAAGCAATATTTGCAAGCGTCTTCACTTACAATTCTGAAAGGCAGTGTCATACACAGAGGTTTAACATCACTTCGTCATTATCATCGAAACACTCGGCTATCATAGATGTCCATTTGATTTAGTTGAATTCCTTCAACGCGAGTGTTTCTAGGTTTTGATAGCAACGTTCAAAGGAGAAGCAAACAAAAACCCTCATTTATCTCGAAGAAAAATAAGGTAGGCGTTTTCACAATTAGTAAAAATTGCTCCTTAATCCACTAATAACGACTCAAGTAACGGGAAAAATGATGTGGAATAAAGACATTAAAATGGGCCCCGCCCAAATTCGCCTAAGCGCAACAATTTAATTGGGTGAATGAATGGTGCTGAACGCTGCCCTGCTGATGCTTGTTTCCACGATAATATGATGTAACATGCGTCAAAATTGATTAAAAAATTGGAAACAAGGGAAAGCAGTGAATGGGCACAAGCGGAGTACTTACCTGAGTGTCTCCTTTCTGGAATGATGACAGTAACATTCATGTGCATATTTTTAAACTTGCAGAGTGCGGTTTCGGCTGAAAGGGAAGATGAGGAAAGAAAAATATTTATTTATACTCACCTGTGTGTTTATTTCGCATAGAGTAGAGAAGAGAGCAGACTATGAGGTGAGAGTCATTCCTAAATGACTACTTTTACAAAAGTTAATTAATTAGACTGTCCTGTTTCAAATCAGTGGTCTGGTACTGTTAACACAGTCAGAACAAGGTACCGCGAATAATAAAAAAGTATATATTTACGAGCAGAGGATTCGTTTGGTAATGATGCCTGAGTCACTTCGAGCCCAAATTGTCAACAAGACCACGGCCATCAATATTTCAGTCACTGGACATGTCTAAATGGCTAGCTCACGAAATGTGCGCAGAAGTCCATCAAAGCAGAAAATAAGATCCTAACCTCTGAAGTGATCAACTTAAGGGCAATTTTATGTCTATCCCTACAAAATAAATTCGTCCAGAAATAATGTAGTTGCTCCCACTTCTTTATGCGTTCAAATTGACCATGGTAAATATGAATACGTAGCCCCAGTAACCCAACAATGGATTTGAA